AGCCAAAAGTAGCAAATACAAAGTATTTAAACAACAGCTTCGCAATAAGCATATTCTCTATCTAGAACAGCTTAGCTTAGCAGATAATATCCACTTGTTAGAATGGCAACATATCTCTCCCAGACTCTGACACCTTCCTTAAGGGAAAAAGCCATACTGGTTCTGTTTCTTGGAAGACACAATCATTAGCAACTTATAGCTTCGCACAATTTACTCGCATTACCAACCATTAGGTCAAACCCATTTGCCTACCAACCTAATACTATTTCTAAAAAACTAAAACCATGGATACTTACATACCAGCATAATGAAATCATTATCAGCCAAGTTAGAAAAAAGCTCAAACAAACTAATACTACTTCCATTACATATTGGCAACATGATATAAATATACAACAGCACTTACCTTACTCTTTACCATCTATAACATGTACTCCATGCTCCGGCTGCGACCTCAACTCTAATCAGCTAACCAACTACTATACTATTGAAGTATCCAATACTATATTAACACAATTCTTAGGAAGAAAAACAACCAACAAGCAGGTTAAACTAAATGCAAACTATATCGACTTAATATACTCCACAGCAATCAAACACCCTATTACCATTTCACCACTACCCAATATTAATATTACAGACTCCTTAGCTCCAGCCCTCTTTCACACTAGTTAAGCTTGCTCAAAACTATTACAGAACTCTCTTACTAATAGTAGCTCACAAATATTCACTTTTTATACAGACGGCTCAGTATCAGACATAGGTACTAGTAATTGCTCAATGGGAATAGGTTGGGTGCAACTAGATAACAACCAAATCATCAACTAATTTTTAGCCAAAATCCTCAACTGGCCTTTCTCATACAAGGCCGAGCTCATTGCAATTTTATCTGCCATCTCTACAGTACCTTGTAATGCCAGAGTTAATATATATACTAATTCTCAGTCAATCATATCCAAATATGATAAACTTTTATGCACCTCGACCAAATCCTCTAAGTACTTTAAATTCAACTACTGGTCTATATAATATACTCTCCTTAATGCTGTCAAGGCCTTCAATATTCAGCTTTCCTTCTATAAAGTTCAGGCACATGCTAATAACTTTAAATTTGACTACTGGCCTATATAGTATACTCTCCTTAATGCTGTCAAGGCCTTTAATATCCAGCTTTTCTTCTATAAAGTTCAGGCACATGCTAATAACTCATTCAACAACTTGGCTGACTCTCTAGCTAAGAAGCATCAAGAACCAACAACCCATATCCTTCAATTTAACCATACCAACATACACAACCCAACTTTATTATTCAGTGGAAAGGACAACCTATAGAAAAGCCTACTAGACAACTAATTAAAGATACTGGCAAGGCATATACAATAGCAATGTGGTCCTCACAAAAATGCAATGCTGAATGGAAAAGCCATACCCAAACAATTAACTGAAGCTCAACTTGGCTCTATCTCAATAATAACTCAAAAGCCACAACTAATATCACATCCCCAAACTAAACCAGATGAAAGCATTTAGAGTTAAAAACTTACTAAACGAACTGCCAACCTATTACCACTTCTACAGTATTATGTCTAAAATATTTCTAGCCAATATCTGCTTTGCATGCAATGCCCCAGACTCAGCTACACACTGGCTTATCTGCCACAATTCACAAACAATTAGCCAAATCGTCCACCTCTCAATCTTGAAAATGGTTACCAAACACCTTAGTGACCAGACTTTAACACAGCAAAGAGCAACAATAAACCTTATCGAATCTCATACCTCCTTTAACAACATTCTTCTGTTTAATCCTCAAACACATGCACTACCCACTACTTTAAAGAGACTTATTTCATCCCACTTGCTACAAGCACTACAAGTAGTTAGTATACAACACAAAGAGGCAGCAAATATTATAATTCGGATACTTCTACACATATCTACAGAGATCCATGAGCAAATCTGGAAGCCATATTGTGAAAAACTTGCAAAATGGAAAAAGCAGCACAACATACAAACCTTTAACCAAACTAAACAGACCATACATAGACAAGTACAAAGTCGACAGAAAAAACCTCAAAGATTCACTTACAGCTGTCTGTGTAGCCTACCAGACCAATAGCACGATAACAATAACTGTCCTCTTAAAGGGCAAGCACAACACAAATTCAATCAATGGTCAACAGCATGGATACAATTCAGCATCCCTACAAATCACATACTATCTATTAAAACCTAGGTAAGTCTTGACTACTCTAGTAGGTTTAGGTCGCAGATAATTAGCTTTAGCTTTTAGTCTGAGCTACTATTCTTGCATGTAATTTATAAACACTTGTTATTATACAAATTTAGTTTTTATATAGTTTCTATATAATTACTTATATAAATTACCTAATAAAGATACGAGCAAGGCCTCACCTTAACACCAAAAAAAAAAAAACAAAGTATAATACTTCATATAACAGTAAATTTGTGATCTTTATATTCTTTTCTTTGATCCCAAGTATTTTAAAATTTACCAAGCCAATTTTAAAGGTTTAACTACTATTAGAATCAGAAGAATCTCCTTTACAACTTTTTCTAAAAATGAAAAAAACCTTTACATAGTAAAACCTTCTTTAATTTTAAAAGATTATTTTAACTAATTATATTATTATATAGAGTAAGTTAGTTATTTGACTTAAAGAATATAGTAAAGAATTGTCCAACTTTAATGAAAAATTAACTTCAAACTACTAGAGATTAAAAACTTTGGCTTTAAACTAAAAATTATTAAATACCAAAGAATATATATTTAAAATTTAAAGAAAGGTTTATATATATACTTTTACAAAAATTAAATTTAAGTAATTTTTTTATATAAATTTATATATAAAATTGAGATAAGTTAACTTATTTGATTTATAAATAATAGCACTTATATGAACATGTCATGTAACTGCTATTATTAGTTGCATATTTTCAAATTATCTTTTTACAATATAGTAATTTTTTAGTATAGCAGGTTATAAATAAATATTTTTTAATAGACTATATATTATTTGATATACAAAGCATATTATATCTTGTAGTATAATTAGCTGTTTACTAATATTAACTTTACACTTTTCAAAATCTTCAATTAATAATTTAGAAAGTAATTATATAGAAATTTTTTGTTGTTTAAATTTAAATAAGAAATTTTGATAATAATTTTTAGTATCTTTACATTTATTTATATATTTTAAAAAATTTTTAATAGTAGATTTAATAATAGGTTGTAATAGTTAAATAGGTATTTGAAATATTTTATGAATTTGTAAAAGATAGTATGATACAAATGGATTATAAAATAGAGATTAAATATAAAATTGTTTTAGATAAATTAATTATTATAAAAGATTAACTTGGTGTATTGAATTAGATTATAATGAAGAAGATGCTTGTAATAGTGCTAAAAGTAAAAATATTTGTATTAATACTAAAGATAAAAGTACTTGTAATAATGCTGAGGATGAAGGCACTTATGATAATGCTAAAGACAAAGATACTTGTGATAATATTAAAGATAAAGATATTTATAATATTGCTAAAGATAGATTTTTTTTTGTTAAATATTTATATACAAATAATGAATATGTAGATAGTTTAGTTGGTAATACTATTGCTTTACTCTAAATATATATATATATATAATAAGTAAATTATATTTTTTTAAAATTTATAATATAAATTTTTTTTACAATTTCTAATGTCCAAACTAAAAGTATTATAAATGTAATTAACTCTCTTCTATCTTTTTTATTGGCATGCTATATATCATTTCTAATAATATTAATTTTAGATATAGATCATCTGGTTTATTGGCTGTAAATTTGCTTGTAATCTGTTATATTTCCTTTTAAACTAAAACAGAAAGGATTTTTATCAAGTATTTTTATATTATCTTTATTTGATATCAATATGTAACTATCTTAATATATCTGATATATCTTGATATATCTAATATATCTTGATATATCTGATATATCTGATATATCTAATATCAATATAGCTCCCAAAAATGTTTTATCATACTCAAGTTAATATTTATAGATTTTTTGACCATCATGAGAAATTATATATATGATAAAGATTTCATGTATAAAAATATTTAGCCCGAAAATAGAACATAATTTTAAATGTTAATTTCTAAATTTTGATTTTTTTTTTTTTTTTGAATAAACAATCTTGATAACTTGTGCTATTCGATTATATAATGCAAACACCCTAACTAGCCAGATATTAAACTTAATTATGCTCAATTGAACCTTTGGCAAACCCTATATCAACCTTGTGAGTTCATTTACATACTAAAAATATATGTACAATAATATAGATATTAAGCTTGTTTATGTTTGATTAAACCTTTAGCAAACTCTATATCAACCTTGTGAGTTTGTTTATATACTAAAAATATATATACAATAATAAACTTTATGTTTATCACTCATATGTCTTATTAGTTGAATTTTATAAAATTTATATACTATTTTTTTTTTTTTATAGCATATCATGAATGAGTGCCAGTAATTATCGAGTAATTAGCTACATTGATCAGCTCTATTTAAATTCTATTAGATAGATTTCTATTTACTTATTGTGTATACATACTTTTGTAGAATCCTCTTAAATAAAACTTTTTACCTTATATTTTGTCTATTGTTTTGTGTTTTATAAGTTTTTATTATTCTAATTTGTAAATATGTATAAACAATATTGCATAAAATTTAGCAAAAAAGCATTATTGTTATATATATATATTTTTAATAAGGTAGAAAACAGTGAGCAGTCACTTGACAATCCTAAACATTGTGTAAACTATGATCAGTTTATTCAAATAGATGCGTTTAATATTAATAAAGCTCCAATAAATCAATACTATATAACATCTCTCTAGAAAAAGTTTAAAATATATATATATTTATATATATATAATTGAGTGGGGTTTGGTTGTAGGTATTTCATCCTTTACTAAATAGAATACTGAATATAACACTAACACTTGAACTTTCTATTCTTAATAATTGTAGCAGATCATAATAAAATCAGATTAAAATGAAATAAGGGTTTCTATTTAACTCTTTAAAATCCTCCTATACTTGTTTATTATAAACTTTATCCTAAAACTAACCTCTAACCCTAATCTCTAACTTAAAAAATGCACCTCAAAAATTTTTATTTTTTGGTGGTTTGTCTATTTTTTACATTGTGTTATATTTTATTTTAATCTGATTTTATTTTAATCTGTTACAATAATTCTAACACAAAACCATACACTTAACCTCAAACCAGAACAATACAACAATAACTACAACAATCCACAATACATTGAGAGAGTTGGACAACAAAACCATGGCAGTTCTCAGTATATCAAGAATCAACCAGACAAAGTTTCAATACACTTTTCAATGAAACAATGATTATACTGCTTATACTACTTAAGCATAGATTAAAATATAAGTATTTTATTTATAAGGTAGAGAGGGTATAGAATTATTATTAGATGAATTTTTTGTGAATTGCGAAGAATGTCTTCCCTGAAGGGCAAAAAGACTTTATTATATACTTTCTTTTTAATTATAAATCATTATACAACTTATTCACAATATATCACTTATATTGCCTATACTGATTAAAAGGTTTATACTAATTATATCAAATAAACCCACTATTCCATTCATCCTTTCTATCCTCGATACAAAGTATACAACAGATATAGTGTATACAGCTAGGAAATCTATATTTAGTAAGCAATTATAAAACTGTTTCTTGCATTATTTTGATTACATTCTCCACATACTTCAGAAGTATATAACTGATCATTGTGGTTGTTATAATAAGAGGTTTTTTATTGACTAGGTCAGGCCAGACCTGGTTTAAATTTAAAATCTGGCTCAGCTCATACTTTAAAGCTTTTTTTTTAGCAAGCCAGGCTTGGGCCCTAAATATTTTCTGGGCTTGGTTTTGGGCTTATAAAAGCCTAGCCCAATGTATCCTATTCTACTTCCTACTAGAAACTATAGTATTGCAATTTATAAAAACAAACCAAATATTGTTACTTTGCAAAATTTTTAAATTTTGCAAAATATTAATATTATATTTATATAATATATTAATAATATAATAAAAATATTATATTATTATTATTTATTTTTTTTACTATTAAGATAACCTCTTTGGCTAGATACTGTTTTATTAA